GTTTTGTAATGTATGCTTCAATTTACGGAACATACGTTGCATTTCAATTTGCAAGTCATATGTTGTTCATAATTTACGTGATCTGTAAGACTTGCTTTATGTTTCAAGTCATTTTATTTACAGACATCATATTATACAATTTATATATGCATTCTTTAACCCTTTCGCGACGCAAAGCGCGAAAGCGCGCTTACCGCTGAGGCCGGCAGTCTCTCTAGCGTGTGTCTCCCCAGGGCCGGAGGGTTTTTCGATGTTAAGCCTAATTCCATGAAATTACCGAAATATCAGCGCGTTGTTTAATATTGTTCTGTAGAGTATTTAAGTGACATATGCTTTATATATATTTCTATGGATACTTTATTTACTTAAGTTATTTCTTGTTTAAATGTAATATAAATATTAATAAGTTTAAATATTTTGCATAATTTCCTCTATTTCCAGCTCAGTTAAAAATTTTCGACGCTTCGACATTCTAACGGTAAAAAGAAAAAAAATTCAAGCCTACAAGATCTAATTATCCACTAAAAACTAATCCGAAAGTCGAAAGTAGCGAGAGAAAAAAAAAACTCCCTTACTTGCTGTAAATAAATATCACGTGCTAATTTAAAGAGCCCTCATAAAACATTCCCCCCCCTCCACTCCTTCCCCTAAAAACCACGTGACTGTACTTTCATCTTGAGTAGAAGGTCAAATCTACATGTATCTGAAACCATATGGACATACTGTGCCATCTTTTGGAAGAAATTTCATTTTTTAAAACGTTCCGAAACGCTGGCACAACCGAAACGCTGGCACAAATATGTGACGGTCGGGGGTGAACGAGAAATCTCTCTGACGCGGGTGTGTCGGCCGGGAAGTGAGCGCGTTTCTTGCTGTCACATATATGTGACAGTCNCTGCGACAATGATAAATACTAAACAAACATAAAAAAATAGGGTTTGCAAAAAACTCTGGTATTAACAAACATAAAAAAAACTAGCAAATTTTTAAGTTAATTAAATTTTTTCATTTAATTGAAATTAAGGCAAATTATAATAATCTTAATAAAAACCATAGATTCATGGAATTTATTTTTTCCTATTGCGTTTCAGTCAACGTTTTTTTTTAAATGATGTATCAATTGCCTTGAGAATTATTATTTATAATTTATACTAGATTTCATAAACTGTTTCAATTAACACTTTCAATATTTGATATTTCTTTGTTAAAAAATAGTTATCTAATTGATTATAAGTTATTTAATTAATTAATAGTTATTTAATTATATTACAGTTAATTATTTTTTAAAAAATATTCAATTCCCGTCTTGGGTTGAAAAAAAACTATTTCTTCCATGATCGTTTTTACCTCTGTGTGTGTTGGGTCTGTCCAGGGTAAATTTACTACCGTTTAGCGGTACCTTCAGGAATTCAACTTTAGGAAATATGGTAGTTTTACAAAATTCTTTTAAAAAGAAAGTTCTCGTTGCAATCTATAGAAAGGAGGAGCTTTTCCGCCAGCTGTCTTTTACGAAAAGGTAGCACATTTTTGATCAGATAGTGCAATGTCCTAGCCCATTGCTTACGCCATTATCAAAGCGAGCTTTTCTTTCGCTGAGTTTTTTAATTAGAAACCATGATGCTTTCCTTCTATAAACTGTACATGAAGTCGAAAGTCAAACATTATCTTAAACACTATTTTAAATTTATTCTAAAAGACCTTTATTTTTTATGAAAAATTTTTTTCTTTGTGAAACTTTTTTCTGTATGACCCAGTCAAAAATGTTCTTATAATTAAAATAACTTTTAGTGCTAGTTCTGTTGAATGCAAGTTTTTATTAAATTCAAGTTGAAATTTAACTATGGACAATGATTTTTAAATTTGGATACAATTTTAAGCCCAAAATTTTACAATAGCAAAGCTATTTTTGAATATATAAGAAAAAATATATCGAAACTTACCAGTCATAAATGATTTTTATTTGTTCTGACAATTTTTAAAAATATTTTCTTACTTAATCGTATTTTTGTGTTTTCCTAAAATAGATACCTCTCAAAAAAACCTAGACAGGCCCCTAGTTAAAGAAACTACCCATTCTGGAATTTACAAAATATATAACTTATTTCATTTTTGTATATTAATATTTATCTGACATATTTTAGAGGCCCCTGAAGAAGAATATGATCCTCGTTCTCTTTATGAACGATTGCAAGAGCAAAAAGATAAAAAGGAAATGGAACTTGAAGAGAGCCGTCGTTTGAAGAACCTCATCCGGGGATTAGATGATGATGAAGTGGCCTTCCTAGAGTTAGTTGATCAGACGAAAATTGAAATGGAAACAAAACTTTGGGAGGAAGAACGAAAAGAAATTCAAGAATTCAGGTTCATTCTCTTCTTTTTTTATTCATTTATTATTTTTTTTTAAATAATAATTCTGTAATATTTTATTAAAAGTGCTGTTGAAAATGGATTTGCATGGTAGCAGAATCGTGGCGACATTGTCGCAAACGTTACCGAGTTCTTGCAGAAAGATTTTACCTTTGAGAAATAAAAAATTTTACTTTTCTTTTCTGCAGCAATTTTCGAAAGATCTTTTCTAAAATTATATTCAAAGATGCCTTTCTCGCGCATCGAAGTGGAGAAATACTTGTGATTTTTCTACTTTCATTAGAAAATAATGAACAATAAAGAATAATGAAGTAAAAAAACTGGTTTTCTTTTCTGTAGAAATTTTCTTTCTATTTTGTATGCTGTTATTACTATTGATTTCCTCATAGCTTTTACTATCCGATATTTTAAATGCAATATTTTTAATACAATGTTATTTATTACAACGCCTGAATTCCAAAATGAAATCATACATTTTATTAAACCCTTTTTGAAGAGTCCGATTCGCTTGATTTCGTCATCAATCTTTTTTCTTCTTTTTTTTTAAGTAGTTACTACTGCTATGGATTTCGCATTTTTTTTTTTTTAAAAATTTTTAATGTGATGATGAATTAAAAAACTGTGAAAAAGGAAATAGTGTGTTATCCCCCTACAATATGCTAGAATATTTCCCATAATATTAGAATAAAAAAAATTTTACTGTATCTGTATTAGAGAGGTATGTCACAGAAAACCCGAAAAAATTCTGCCACAGGGTGGATTTGTATTTAAAATTTACATCATTCTAAAAATATTTAGGTACTTTTCTTATCTACTATCCTTTTGTAAATATGGACATTTAAAGATAACATCTCAAGAAACATAGTTATCTTGGAGACTCTGATTTTATTTAAATGTATTATTGTAATTGTTATTAATATTTGAATGTTTTAATAGTTTAAAATAAATGTTTGTATTGGCCCCATGGCAGAATCGCGGCAACATTGTCGCAGAACATTATGGAATTCTTGCAGAAAAAGTTTTCCTGAAGGAAGTAAAAAAAATTAGTTCTCTTTTCTGTAGAAATTTTTTTTTCTCTGAAATTCGAATTTAAAATATACCTTTCTCACACAGCGGAGAGGAAAGAAATGCTCCTGATTTTATTTTTCTTATTTGAGATTGATGAAAAATAAAAAATAATGAAGTAAAAATAAAATTTCTGCAGAAATGTTCTAAAGATTTTTTTCTTCTTCATAATTATATTCAAAAGATGCATTTTTCACTCACCAGAGGAAAGAGAAAAGCTCCTGATTTTTCTATTCGTATTTAGGAGTAAAAATGCAATTGTGAATGGTTTCATCTAAAATTTCAATTAGAAAATGTAAGGAACAAAAAACTTAATCACAAAAGTTGAAAAGATAGTTCCGTTCTAGAAATCATATTCTTTCATTCATGTTTTGTTAGTTTTTTTTCCAAGTATACCATATTTTACATTTTAATAAAATTTGACTGTGAATGGGAATTTTGTTACAAATTCAGATTTGTTGCAAAATAATGTCCTACTTTTTTTTTTTTTTAAATTTGGTTGTAATAAAGTTTATCCAATATTTTTGTTAAAAAATTTATCATTTGAGTTTTCGTTTACAACTCACACCGATTCCATAGTAAATCTATCGAGGAAGGACAGCTGCTTCTAAGTTCTAAAGTAATTCCTAAAATTGGGTAGCCGTATTCTAAAATAAGTCTCATCTGAAAAGGTGTTGTTGAATTTCACTCTAATGGATCTGTGTTCAACAGTCCTACTCAGATGAAAGCTATTTTTAGAAACTCTTACGATCTCAATCACTTGCTTGCTTGTGAATTTAGAATTCTTTTCAAACTCTAGTTAAGAAAATTTGATCTTTCATTGCATATGGTTTGTCTAAACTAAGAACTTCTCTAGCCATTCATCTGGTCCCGTAGCAGTGACTATGGTAACGGGGTATAACTATTTTAAGTAGGTGTGTGGGGTCATTATTTAGGACAAGTCTTGGCTCGGGTCGGCCTGAGAAAAGGAATCTTTTCTTCGGTCTTTTGCGTTAGCTAAAGAGTGAAGAGAAGCTACCCTCCCTGAAATGCACTATTCTTGTTTCCATAGCAGCAGAGACCCTCAAACTTTGTGGTGGGGAGAGTTCTTTCCCTAGACAAACTGTACTATGCTATTAATAGGTATCTATAGATAATTTATTGCTGTTAGCCTTATTTATGTATTTAAAGTTTCGATTTTTTTTTTCTGAATTGGATTTTAATTTATTGCTGAGTGAAATTTAGTTTACAGTCTTTAAAATCTGCTAAATTATGTTTGCACAAATTTATTTGAATTTATTTTTATTATTTTTTCTTTATTACTTTAGGCGAGCAGTAACCAACCTCACGGAAGAGGAACGGGAAGTAAAGCTTCAGCATTTGCGACAAGCTCTAAATTTGCCAAAAAGTGGTGCAAATAAAAAGTCACAGCATGCTTTACTGGCAGGGGTCTTAAAAAGGAAAGCGTAAGTTAAATTATTTTTCCCAATGTTATATTATCTACCTTCTAAATTAAGAAATATTATTGTTATAAATGTGTTGTTGTTTTCCCATANTTTTTTTTTTTTTTTTTTTTTTTTTTTTTGTTTTTTTTTCTTTTCTCTTTGAATTTATTTATGTCTTATACTAGTAGATTCTGTTATGAACTTTTGATAATTTTAATATAATTTGAACTATGCAAATACTTCTCTATTGTTTTGTTAGTTGCATTTATTGTTAGCTTGTATTTATTTTTATAATTATTTAATTCATGCAATAAAATATATTTATATATTTATTTTATATTTATGTATTTATATTAATTTATTTGTTATACTAATTTATTTATTATATAAATATATATATAATAATATATTTATATTATGTAATTATATATTTATATTATAAAATAAATAAATGAAATATGAAGCACAGCTTATTTTAAATGTTAGCATTTTCCTTTTGTAAGTTAATTTTTAGCTTTCTTTCTTTTATTAGTTAATAATTTTAATAGTCATTAAATTTTGCTACTTATTTTATGATTGTCAGAGACAGGACTATCACCGACAAAGATGTACACATGTTAAGGTGTGAAAAAATTATAAAAAGTATAAAGATATAATATTACATATATACACTTTTCTTTAATTTGAACTTTACTTGTAGTAAAAAAAAGCATTGTAATTTTTACTATATCATTTTTAAAACTTTTATGGAGCCAGAACTTTTTTCTGAAGAAACGAGGAAAAGCTGGTTCTTTCCAAATGTTATCAGCTTTTTCTTTTTTTCAATTCCTACTATTAGTTCACACTCTCCCTATATCTTGTTCAAATTTTAAGTTCTTAATAAAATACTTTTTATTCATTCACTTAAGTTCAATTAAAATGTTTTTTTTTTAAGTTTGTTGTAGATGACACTCGATGTTAATACAGTTTTTTTTTTTTTCAAATATTAATTCATTAATTAAAAAAGGATGAGCGAAATACAAAATGGAATTTTTTGATGGGTTAAGCATTAGTCGTTGTTTTGAATTTTATTATAAGCGATTCAGTTTCTCACATATATTAAAAATAACATCGGTGATATTTTCTAACTTATAAACTCTATTTAAACAAAAAGAAAAAAATAGTTTATTCGACACATTAAAATATTTAATTACTTTATATTTGCTGTGTCAGATAATTTCAATAAAGAACATTACCTGGTAGCACTTGTGGTCCATGTCTCCAAATTTATACTTTTATAATTGTTTGATATCACACGCCTTTTTTTCTTGCAATTCCTGCTATTAGTTCACACTTCCCCCTATATCTATTTATATATCTTGTTCAAATTTTCAATCGTTTATAAAATACTTTTTTTATTCATCCATTCAAGTTCAAATACAGTTTTTTTCAAATATTAATTCATTAATTAAATTTTATATAATTAAATTTAGTTTTATAGGGAAGAAAAAAATTTTAATTATTTAATAAAAAGTAACTAAAATAAAATTTTCTTTGTTGACCTAAGTAGAAATTAACTTTTAAAAAAAATTACATTACTTGTTCTCTTTTCAGTCATTGTGCCTTCTTCAGTGGCAATTCATTTATGTGCAAAAGACATATCCACGTTTAAAGCTGACTTAAATGTATTTCTAACGAATAATTGGAATTTTTTATAATATGTGGGAACAAATAACAATAACTGCCGAAAAAAAAATTTTAAAAAAAAAAGAAAGAATTACAAAAAAAAAGATAAAAAAATCACTTAGATTTAAGATGAAATTGTCACAAATAAAGTGCACAAAAAGTGATTATTTAAATTTGCGATCTGAAACTCTCGTCGTAATAAAAATTCGGGATTTTCGAAATCATCTAGAATAGCTGAAATAACTGTTTAAAAAAATCATTTATATTTACGATAAAATCGGCTAAAAGAAAGCGCATTAAACATACATTTACTAAAGAATCTGTTAAAATTGATTGTGTCAAAACGTGATGACTTAAAAGTGCGATTAATTGCCATTATTCCTTTTTAGTCTATTTTGATTTATAATTGTTTACATTTATCCCCTTTTTATTATTTTCTTTATTTAAAAAACCTTCATTATCAATGAAGTTACATTGTTCAAAAAAATTACCCTGAAGAATGTATTTATTAAATATTATTTATAAATGTATATTTAAATATTAAATATATTTATAAATGTTAAATATATATAAATATAAAATATATATATATATAAATATTAAATTTAAATGCATACATAAATAAAATCAATGATTATGTTTTTTTTAAAGAATCAATAGTATAACCTATTGATCAACAAATATAGCTCATAAGACCTGTGCAATTCATCTTTTTAGAAAACTACTTTAAATGTCTCAACTAGTAATAATGATTGTATAAACTATTTTTTAACTTTTAAGAAAGAAAATTAATGGTGTTAATTAACGGTGTTACGTTGTAGCATGTGCTCAGCCATACTTACATAATTAATACTATATTTCCTACTACTGATTAATTAAATGTTGTTTATTAGTATTTCTTTTATCGTTGTTGTTGAATGTTGGGTTTAATAGCACAAGTGCTGCAGACACTCTTACAGCCAAAACATCGCTGCGTGCTCAATGCAATGAAATCATACAGTGATATAAAACAAGTTTGAGAAAATAAGAGGTACAAAATAATTTATTTCTCACGCTCATTTTAAGAGCAAAATATAAATTTGAATGGATTATTCATTTCAATGCGTAATTTATTTTATTTTTTTCTACATAAAAGTTAATTCTTTCAAATCAAGTATTCTTTGTCCTACGTTCACTACTTTTTTTTNTCTTCATAACATTGTCTAGTTTTTTCAGTCATCTAGTAAAAATTACGATCGTCATCCAAGCATTCTTGTTGGCACCCTTTTCTTCATGTTGGCAAATTCCGCCCTTTTTTAAAACACACAAGAAAAAATAAAAAATTAAATAAACGTGAACAAAATCTAAAAACCGACGTATAACCGATTCTGTGCGTCGTATAAACGATATATTTTTACATTAAAATTAATATGAATGATTTGGGACCACACTAAAACGTCGTATAAATGTAAACGTCGTATAAGTGATCGTCGTATAAACGATGCTCCACTGTATATAAATATTAAATATATATTTGTAAAATAAGTTTTAGACTTTAAAAAAAAGTTGGAATAATTATAAAAATATCAGTTTAATAATATCATAAATTTAAAAAAAAAAGAAAAAAAACACTTGAGGCAAATTAATTATTTTTTTAAAAAAAATTTAGTGATTTAAATTGTAATTTTAATCATGATTTAAGTCAAGTGATTTAAATCAAGCCAACCCTGATATTGAGATTATTTATTAAAGATTGTTTAAATTTATTTGAAAGAAATTAGCTGAAATATACAATCCTGAAGCATAACTGAAACTTACAGACAATAACAGAAACTTACTGAAAATGACTGAGACTTTTATAAATTAGGGAATTAAAATAGGTATATTTTACTACCTTCATTATCTAAATGTAATTTCCTATTTTTAAAAGAATTATATTAAGACTTGCTTTGATTGCATTTACTGAATATTTTTTAATATTCAAAGTTGCCTCAAGCTTTTAATAATAAAAGAGTGTAATTATTGAAAGCTTAGAAATACATTCCCATGTGTTCTAAACTTTTTTTTTTTTGCAGATCAAGTTCTTCTAACAGTCCTGACAAAAGTGAAGGTAATCAAGCTTTTATTTTCTTCTTGTTCTAAATTATTGAATTCCAAATTGTATCCCACTTTAGGTTGTTGAATAACAAAAAGAGTTTGTAATATAGTGAACATGTTCCCCATTAAGTTAAAAAACGCCAAATCACTTTCAAAGTATGCATGATTTAAAAGAAAAAAATTTAGATGCTAACCAATTATAAAATTATGAAACACCTTTTTTCGAAACCATGGAACTTAATAAAAGTTATTAAATTGAAGAAACATAAGGGTACAACAAATCAAAAGGTATGAATTATTTTGTCAAACAAAATAATTGTTTAAACATCTTTCATCGCACGAGCACCTAAAGTTTTCATTGTTACGTAAGAATAGAATTAAATAAATAAAAAAAACAGATTCTGGTTACCTTTTTAAGTTTTCTTGGTGATAAACTATTCAAATTATTGGTAATTGCATGATCCCTATTTGTAGAGAGAGAAAAATATAAGGCAATGTTATTTACTCTTATCTTTTTAATACAATTTATTAAAGGTAAAAATTAAAGGGCCCCCGGGCACTGCTCTGGTGTGCACATGTGTGAAGGTGGTACTGCTCACTGTTATAAACTTTGTTATTCCAAAGATAATTCAATGTAAAAATTAATCACCACTTATTATTTCTCACTTTTTATTAAATTTTTTAATAATAGTAAAATAAATTATTGTATTCAAATCTTTCGATCATTTTGAGGCATGCATTTTTAAAAGACAAAATTTGACTGAAATTATAATTAAATATAACTAAATCATAACTAAATCATAACTAACTTAAAATAGTGGTTGAGCAAATTAATTAGCATGGTGAGGCTCTTCATTCAGATTTTGAGTCGTAATATGCAATTTTTATTTTGTGCACTGTACAATAAGAAATTACTATCTTTATAATAATACATAACTCGAAATAAATAAAAAAATAAAAAAAATAATAACTTTTGATCTTACTATCAAACTTTCACCAAAAGTCACTATCCTAAAAGTTTGAATAGTAAACCTTAAATGGGCTAATTAATGAGTGTGAAGGAAGTTACAAAAGCATGTTTTCTTCTGAATAAACATCAATTGGTTTTCTTTTTTTCTGGTTTATACATGTTTTTAACCTCTAAATATATATATCTAACTACAATGTTAAAGTTGTTGCTACAATAGTTAATTCTGGCGAACTATCTTAAGTTCAAGCTCTTTAAATATTAATTTTACTCTGTGCTTAGTTCTGACGTCATAAGTTTTTTCACGTAATTATAGAACTAATTTTTAACCAAAAATAATATACCAGTCAAAAACAAATTTTTATAATTTATTTATTATTTTATTTAATATTAATTATAAAAAAAAATTAATGTGTGGAATAAGGATTTCTTCATTTTACACTTTGTAATTTTCTACTACAAAAGTTACTGTTTAATTAAAATTAGTTGCATAGTTCTAAAAAAATAAAAAATTTCAATACATTCCTTTGAAACAATTTGTCAGATTCTGGTTCAATTTTCTTTAAATTTCATATTTCAATCGGATATAAGAGACTCAAACTTTGAGTAGTTCCCGTGAGTATGTTACCAGTGGATTTCTTTTTTCAAGATTGCAGCCATTCCCAATATTTTGTTGGATGCACATCTGAATCCACCTACAGAAAGTATGTTTATCCTGAAAAAGCATGTTTTTGTGCATGATTTCATATCCCGAAACAGTACCGTCTTTACAAATGGGCACCCCCCCCCCTCATTTCCCGGGGGGCCAAAGCACTCGGGGGTGCTTGAAAATCTCACTTTTTATGTATTTTATTTTTAAAAAAACTAAGAGCAAAAACATTGCATTCTATATATTTTAAGATAAATATATTCTCATATAAAAAAGTGTGCATTTTTTTCTATAAATCGTAAATGATTATCCTGCAGACGCCAATAATTTGAACAGTTTGTCACCAGGAAAATTTAAAAAGTCAGTTGAAATCTATTTCTCTACGTTAAAATGAAGCTTTTAGTTACTTAACTTATTTCTCTAGATAAGCTTGACCAACTCCGTTTAGCATTATAATTAGTTAAACTCCGCCACCAACTTTGTTTACCATTTATAATTAGTTAAATAAAGTAATAATTGAAAGAGTTTTGAATTACAAAGCACTATGGACCAGCAACTTATAAACTGTTATATCTGATGTGCTATAAAAGATGTTTTAATAACTGACTTTAATAGCATGGCGAAATAATTCGTACCTTTTGAATTTTTTTTATTTGTTAAACTCATATGTTTTTTTTTAATTTAATTATTTTAATTAGCTTCTTGATTTTAAAAATTATATTACTATTATTTGAGGATTGCAATTGATTAGCATCTCTTTTTTTTAAAAAAAAATTATGCATAGTTAAAAAATGCTTTATTTTCTGTGCATTGAGTTTTTGGAGTGATAAAAATGTATTTACGTTTGTTAAAATTATTCCATATCTTGAAATTTCTTGAATTTACGTATGTCAAGTTTTTTAGTTTGATTTTAAATAGTATGACATGTTATAGGGACCCAAAACATTTATGGGGCCCTGCTTTTTTTTAAGACGGCTCTGTTGTGATCTTTACTAACTGTGTTGTTAAAGGTGTAAAGTATGCAAAAAAAATGACCACTTTGTGTTAATCATTTAGTCAATGATGTAAGTAATTTTTTTAAATCAATGTTATTTATTTATTTATTTTTTAACTAATGATGGAATCTTCACATTCTAGAACTCAATCTTAATGGTTCGAGAGGGTGACTTCAAATATGCTAATTAATTAGGGCAGACAATATTTTACGTTGTGAAATCAGACACAAAAGCGTACTTTCTCTGAATAAACATAAATTTTTTTCAACGGATTCGGATTTTTGTCTCTCAAAATATAGGAAGTAGCTGTAATCTGGGAAATACAGGGTATCCGCGTGCCTGGAAAGTCATGAATTTTGGTGTTGAACAAAATTTGTCATGAAATGTAATGATTTTAACTATTTTTTTATGGAAAGTCATGGATTTAGGTCACTGAAAAATCTAATTTTTAAAATGGAATTTAGAAATACCCCCCCCCCATTTCATGGTGTTCCGAATATCTGAATTTGTAATAAAATCCCCACTCACAGTCATATTTTATTAAAATATAAAATGTTTTTATCATACTCTTTAAAAATTATGGTGTTCTTTCAAAAAATGAAAGAAAAAACCTCATTTCTAGAGCAAAGTATCTTTTAAACTTCTGTGATTTCAGAATTATTATTATTTTTTTTTTATTATTATTTTATCAATTTATCAATTCTAGCTGAAGCAAGCAGAAATATCAGGAGTATTTCTTTTCTTTCTGATGAACAAGAAAAGTATATTTAGAATATAATTCTGCAGAAAAAATTATTTACTTTTGTATTTTTTCAGCTATTTTATTGTGTTTCAACTCTTTCTTTACTAAGTTTTTTAAATTTAAAATCTTTAAATATAACGATGCGGAGTATAACAGTTTTGATTATACCTATCATTTCAATTTATGTTCTTATAATGCTTTTTTAAATTTCTTGTTGTGTTTTTGTCGGAGAAAATAGTAACATCATTAAGTCATGAAAAATTCTAGGAATTATTCATGAATTTGAAAATCTAAAATGTGGCAGATACCTTGGAAATAGGGTCCCAAAATTTTGATCAGGAGAGTGATTCAAAGTTTAGACCCCTTAATGTTAATTCAATTTTTAGCGTATTTCTCTATATCTCGATTTTTAAGCGATCTGAAAAAAAATTCTATTCTCTTATAAAATTCATTTGTCCGATAATAATTCCATGCAAAAAATACATTTTAGTAAATATTTATTATTTTGTTTAAAAATAATAGAAATATTCTGTATTGTTAGGTATGCAAATTTTTGAATAATTTTCAAGTATGTAATTTTACATAGCAAAATTCGAGCGAAATCTGTTGAATAGTTCCTGAGAAATCGTACAACTTTTTAAAATTTGATTTCTCAAGAACTACTCAACCATTTTCACTGGAATGCTGTATTTTGCCATGCAAAATAACATATTTTAATATGATGCAAAAAATTTTATACCTTGCAATCAAAGTTCTTCCAATTATTATTAAATAAAATAATAAATATTTACTGAAATTTATTTTTTGTGTAGAGTTATCTTAACAAATTTTATAAATGCGTGCAAAAAGCTCTGAATTTAATTAAAATGTTTTTGTGATATGGCAAAATATGTAAAAAAATTAGTTTAACATTGAGGGGTCTTAACTTTGGATCGCTCTCCTAACCAAACTTTGGGGACCATATTTCTCAGATTGCGGTTACTCCCTATATTTTAGGGGTCAGATATTGGAGTTGAAAGAAAAGTATGCTTATTCAGAGAAAATATGTTTCTGTGCCTGATTTCGTATTTTAAAATATCGTCGGCACTAATTAATTAGCATATTTGAGATTACCCCCATGAACCAATAAGATTGAGCCCTAGAACTTGAATATCTATTCATTAGATCAAAAGTTATTCAAGGTGTTCTGTGTGGTACATTTTTTTCACACTTTACTCCCGAAACTAGAAACCTAAAATTGCATTTAATTAAAATACTGTAAAAATCAAAGTTAAAGCAAAAACTTTAAAAAAAAAAAAATTTTTTTTTTTTAAACATGGGAAGGGGTTTGAGATTTGCTTACTTTTTATCCCTTTGGCAGAATCAATGCTACATTATTGCAGAAAGAGATTTCTTTTCTACAGAAATTTACAACGTAATCTTCGTAAAATTTCCTAATTAATGTAATTTAGATAATCACTTTTGGACGCCCTAAATTTACAGCGATAATATCTTAAATCGATGCATTGTTTAGATTGTATTTTCGGCAGTTGTTCATAGTGATTTTTACATGGTTTTTAAACATCCTGATATATTTCAGACAATATGGAAAATTCGAATCATGCATTTGAGTATTTACTTTTTAAAACAATAATTCTATCGAATTTTTGGCAGTTATTGCTATTGATTTCTCCATAGTTTTTAAACCTGATATTTTTATACGATGTTATTTATTGCTTACAACATTTTATCTCGAAACGAAACACGCATTTTAGGAGTCCGACTAGTGTGATTTCGTGGGGCGATCTTTTTATCCGCAATTACTACTACGCATTTCATGATTTTTAATTATGTTTTTTATTGTTATGATTATTTACAAAATTCAAAGAAGGAAATAATTTTTGCTTCTACCCCCCTACAAAATGCGAGAATTACACCCATAATATAAGACTAAAAAGTTCTTACGTGTTCAATTAAAAAAAATTATATAAGTTTTTTTTTATATAAACACAGCTCTTTTGTTATTTTAAATTAGTAACATATATGTTATTATAAAAAGTATCTTGCCGAAAGATATTAGTGTTAGAGAGTTTTGTCGTAGATAGCTTGAAAAAATTATGCCACAGGGTTTTTTATTACAGGACAGGGTTGCCACAGGCTACTAAAATGCGACTATTTGCAACTATTTTCGGCCTTAGGCGACTATGGCGACTTTTTTTGCCTGAAAAGGCTAAAAATGCAACTATTTTCAGGAATAGGCAACTATTGGGAGACTTTTTTACTCTTAGCGAAGTTATTTTTATACTTTTACTTATTTTTCGTAGACCTACTGTTACTTTGCGATTGCTGCACAATCGCTGTGATCTTAAACTTTTGTTCTGAACTAAATAGATCAATGAAATGAAAATAAAAATTAAAAAAGTTTCTGCATTGGTTTTTTTTCAATTATTATTTTTCATTTTAAGCGATACAATTTAATAGGGGTATTTTATACTTAATTTTGTTATAAAAAGTTAGTTTTTTTTTTTTCAAATTTATTTAATGTAGGTAAGTATAATAATTTGATTATTTTTAAACCAATAAATGTTCAGTTGTTTTTATTTATAAAAAATTAAAATAAAGCTTACCTTTATTTAATTTGCTTTTATTTTTGAGAAACTGAAAGCAAAGTTATAAAAAAATTTGGCTATTAGTTAAAAAAAAAATTTTTTTTTTACAAATTACATAAAGAGTTTAGTAATGTTTGGACGCTTTTTAATAATTCAACATTAGTACTTAAAGTATTTTTCTTTTAAATTTTATTAAAATTCTTTCAATACTTTTTCGTTTTATAATTTGTTAGATAGTCAGTGTCATTTTTAAAGAAATAACTCTTTAGTCAATTTTATTTTCAAAAACGAAAATTATAATCGATAAGTAAAAGTATTTTTACATTTATTCAGTACAGAATTTGACCATTAGTTAATACTACTTTATATTATTTTAAGTAATTGAATAAAAGAAGGTCTAATGATGTTTCAAAAGCATGTTTTTTTTCCTACAAATAATTTTAAAAAAAAAATTTTTTTTCTAAAGTGAACAGTTTTTGGTTTGTTTTCTACTTTCATTTTTTTTTCTTTTAATTTGAATACACATAAGTAAAATATTTTGTTACTGTATTATTATTTTTAAACCAATAAATCTTAAATCATTTTTAATTTAAGAAAAATGAAATAAATCTTGGGTTTGCTTTTACTTTGACTTCTTTATTATTTTAATTGAAAAAATTAAGCAATGATATTGATATTATAGTAGAATATGTTTAGAATTAATATTTTCTTTTGTAATAGATTTATTCCTTTTTATTTATTTTTTATTGATTTCCCTTAGGTAGTTTCTGAATATATGCTAAATCGCGATGTCTAACGGACGATGTATCACAATTTAAAATTTTTGACATCAACCAGTCCTTATCATAGTATTTGACAATTAAGCTACAATTTTAATTATTTGGCTACTATTTTTGATAAATTGTTGCTCCTGTTCAAAAATAGTTGCCTAAAACTATTTTTATAGTTTTAGGCAACTATTTTCATGCTTAAGGCTACTAAAAGCAACTATTTTTGTTCATTTTTTACTGTGGCAACCCTGCAGTGGGGAAACATGCTTATGTAATATTCGCCCTGTGGCAGAATTCTTTTGAGCTATCTGCGACAAAACTCTCTTGCAATAACATTATTCTGCAAGTTACTTTTAATAATAACAAACATATATGTTACTAATTTAAAATAACAAAAGTGCTGTGATTAAAAATATATATATGCATATAAAATGTGTTTTTTTAATTTAATAATTTTTTGAGTGATATTCTTGTATTTTGTTTGGGGGAAACCCTCAAATTATTTCCTTCTTCGCATTTTTTGAATAATCATCACAATAAAAAACATGATTAAAAATCATGAAATCCATAGTAGTAATTGCCGAAAAAAATTGACAACAAAATTTCGTGAATCGGACTCTTCTAATGTGTGCTTCGTTTCTAGATCAGGTTGTTGTAATAAATAATATCGTATAAAAATTAGTCGGATTTAAAAACTATTGAGAAATCAAAACCCCAAAAATTAGAATTTAAAAGTAAATACTCAAATGTGTGATTCAAATTTTCCATATTGTTTGAAATATATTGGGATATTTAAAAAAACCACATGAAAATCTATATCAATACCTGCCGAAAATACAGGTTTAAATATTACCTGTGAATTTTTGCTTCCTAATAGAAAAGCCTCTGTAAGGTTCAGCAACAATGTCGTATATTTGAATGAACCTTTTTCTTTCTAATATCCATATTTTGTATTCTGTGAAGGAAAAGAAAACGATGCTAAGCGGCCTCATCTCCAAATCCATGAATCACCAGTCAAAGCTCTGCAGAATCAGAAATCTAACATCATATCATGCCTCGGCGTTCTTCCAGGACTTGGCGTTTATTCCGACAGCAGTGATTCCGACAACTCTTCTGATTCAGAGATAGATCCTAAAGATCTTGATTATGGTTTGTTGGGGAGGAGGAATGCGGAAGTTGTACAGGCTGCTGCACATGAGCAGCAACGATAACTGAAATGACTGAATGGTTTATGAAGTTTGTTTGTTTTTTCAATGGATTATGTTGATAAATCTTTACACTGGGTTGTCACTCCACAGGGAAAATACGGGGAATTTTTAAATCACCTAAGATAACAGGGAAAATGCAAGGAATTTTGTTTCTTACATGGTGCGTAGCGTTTTTAAAAAGTGCTTAAAGGTGCTTTTTTCATTGGGTGTTTTTAAAAAGTGCTTAATTTACCGTTTTCCAAAATGAATTTTTTTTTCTTCACCATGTCGATTTTTGCCATGTATTATGCAAAGGCGTGCTTTTCACGTTTTTTATTCAGCGTTTTCACAATTCATTCAACTACAATCTATTTCGACGCCCTGTCGGTGAGATTCTTGCACTCTCATGTGCAATTCTGCTGCATTTTGCAAGATATTCTCAATTTCCGGCTTCATTTTCCTCCCTCTGAAATCGAACTGAAAAATCTCTCTTTTTATGGTGGTTAGTAGTAATCAAGAAAAAAAACTTATTTGTCAGAAACTAGTTATTTTATCATAAGCGTGTAAAGTCTTTGAAAATTATTTTAGATTTTGTTAATGTGTATAGTACTTAAAAATATTTTTGAGTGCTAAAAAAGTACTTAAAAGGTGCTTATTTTTTGTTGAAAGATTTGGCTACTCACCCTGTCAAACATAATCCATGATATATTTAAGATGATATTTCAGCTATATTAAACTAGTTCATTTACTAGAGCATTATTTGTTTTAAGTATGTTCAGTTTTTTTCTTCAAGTTTTTCCATCAATTATAACTAGCATAGTTAAATGGAACTCATACCACTCATACAAGAGCACATTGATTGTGTGCTTCCTCTTTATATTGTGTATAATAGGGGTACACAACCGTTTTGAGTGGAGGGCCTCTTTCACTGCAGGTAGATTAACGAAGGTCCGCACGCATATTTAGTCACATTTGCGGCAAATATGATAATTTTTATAAAAACATTAGTGTTCTAAGCGCTAAATATTTTCATCTGTAAACTTAATAACATATTTGCAGAAAATTAAATACTTTTAATTATTTGAATTAATTTAAAACTAAAAAAACTATTTCCAATTTTTACTATCATCAATTTATCAAATATATGCATATATACATAAATATTAGGGAGTGTATAAATTCTAACCAAAAAGAAGCTTGCGGAATGTAAGTTGAAAAGATATACATATTTTATAGAATGATAAAAATTTGAATTTAAGTTTAATAAAACGAAATTAAAATAAATTGTTTTGTTACATTCAGAAGTTTTCATGGGCCGCACGTCAACCGTTGGCTGGCCGCATGTGGCCTGCACTCCTAGTGTATAATATGTACAAGAAAAATGCAGTGAATTTTTTCCCCGTATTTGAGTGGCAACCCCATTACAGTTTAGTGTTTCGATTAATTATTGTGTTCTGCATTGACAACAAAACTGTTAGTGTATGTATTAAAAAAAAAACGATCTTTCTTCAGAATTCTTATGATCCCTAAAGTAGTTTTAGTTAAAGTACGAAAATAAGGTATTTTTTGTAATAGACTCATATTCACCTCCACACCATGTATCTAGTTGTGAAATGAGCTAGAATGCATATTTAATGTTAAAATTGAAAGCTAATGAAAAGAACTTAGTTAATTTTTCATTACAATATTGGCACCATTTCTTTAAATTTGAAGAGCATATCAACCTTGTTTTTTTTTAGTAACTTCAAAAAAATATTGTATTTAGTGATTGCAAAGCTATGCATTTCCTCCAAAATTGTCTTTTGAAATGTGTGTTTTATTTATTCAAAAGTGTAATTTCCACCAAATCATTTGTATTCTATATATATTGAAACTTTTCTTCGTATATTTACTATTTAATGTAATATATTAAATAGATTTATATATATGTATCAGGGACCGTGGGGGGCTGGGAGACCCTCTAAGGCCCCTTCTAAGATTACAATTTTTCACCCTATATTTGTGTAATGAAATTTACAATTAAACAGAAGAAGAAAAAACAAATTTTAAAGTCAATTCTTCCTTAGGTCAACAAAGAAAAATTTTATTTTAGTTACTTTTTTTTAAATAATTACAATTTTTCTTCTCTAAAAAACTTACATTTAATTCATGAATTAATATTTGAACTTGAATGGATTATTAAAAAATATTTTGTTAAGGATTGAAAATTTGGGCAAGATATAGAGAGAACAAGAATAGTAGGAATCGAAAAAATAGATAATTTTATTGTATCTATATTTTAAAAAATGGATAAATAACCGTCTCTATTTTGAGCGAACTTTAATATTTCCTTGGTGAAAATGCTACCAACTCTCTCTCTCCCCACTTAGAGGAAATATAAGTCCCTATTACTGACTGATGGGAAGATTGAAACAGAATAGAACAGTGAAACAGAATAGAAAAACATTATCGTTAAATGAGAGAGGAATAATGTACGCAATTTAATTCGAATTATAAAGTTGTCATGATTCTGATTCCTCTCCCATGCATTTGATTGACCCCTGACATGAGGGTGAGGGACACTGGAAATGTCGCTACCCCTAGAGTGGGGGTGGAAGGAGAAAAAGCGGACTTTTGTGAAATATAATTTTAAGTGTAGGCGGTCACTGATATGTATTTATATTCAAACCTTTCTTTAAGTTCCATTTTTCCTATAATGCAATTAAAAGAACAAACTCAATGTCTTGACTTTAAAAAAAAAAATTAACTACAAACGATAATAGAGCATTTTAAGTAACATTAAATAAATAATAATTAAAATTTCATCATTTAAAGGTGCATCAGAAACAAGGTTGGAAAATATTAAATAACAGAAATGTAATGAAAAAGACTTGCATGTTGCTTTTAATACTTAGGAATAATATTTAATAGTTATTATTTTAATAATTATTATGAGTTTTTTTGATTAATGTACTTTTAATGATGTTATACTATCTTTTTCCAAGCATGAATTTGTATATTTTTTGTGAGACTTGATTTAATTTTGTGGACATTGATTATGGATTTATTTTCCTTTGCTAAAAATTTTATGTGGATAGCTGTCATTTTGTATGATGAAGATGAATAAATAGTGGTCTTTATTAAAGTTTTAGAAAAACATTCTTTTACCTGCGGACTCATCAGCATTTTCATTTTGGAGGTGCTTATTTTTGATTTGTCTTTTTTAAAAGCCCTTAAAGAAGCTTTTTTTGTTTGGGATTTGTAAAAAGTGCTTAATTTTCTATATCAAGTGATTTTCTTCTTTGCTGTATCTATTTTCATTCTAAATTACAAAAAAATGCATGATTTTCGCAATATTTATTAAAAACTAGTTATTTTATCGTGATTATGCAAAGCGTTTGGAAAATATTTTTGAATTTTATTGATTTTATGTTTGTAAATTAAGAACTTTAAATGATCGAAGAAAGTAATTTTTATTAATGTACAGATCCTAATTACGATTTTTTTTGAAAGGTGCTTATTTTTTGTTGAAGAACCTGCTAAATATGCAAAGAAAATCAGACAGGGTTTCCACTCCACAGGGAAAACCTGGAAAATACAGGAAATTTAAAAATCACCTAAAATAACAGGGAAACTGCAGAGAATTTGATTTTTTTTTTTACAAGCAGGGAAAATATAGAGAATTTTGTTTCCTTGTTTTGCCTTTTTAAAAATAGTGACCTCTTAAAGTGGAATCTATGGGGTAATTAAGGATTATGTTTCAGCTATACTAAACTGTTTCATTTACTATATTTAAGCATGTGCAACTGTTCTGTTTCCAGCAATTAAAGCTAAAAAATATAGTTAGCCTAATATAGCTCAGACAAGATCACAGTAATTCTTGTATTCATCTATTGTGTACAGGGATTTTTTTTTCCCCACATTTGAGTGGCTTCAATTAATTATTGTATTCTGCATTTTCAGTTTTGTTTTATATAGGAAAAATTTATTTCTAAATTGGCATTCTAATACTACTTCTTGTTTATTTTTAAAATACAAAACCATTAATCATTGTATTTATTTCTATTTATTATTAATTTGTACACAAGATAATTATAAATGGAAAATTTTATTTGTAAAATGATTAATTCGTGCTTATTTTTAGAAATAAAACGACAGATTGATGTATATTTATTTTTAACATTCTTTCAAATGAAAAGGTTTTGTTTAAAAAAATTTTGCTCAGAAACTATTTCATGTTTATCTCAAGAATGTACAGATAAAAATAATGAATTACTGTATTTCTAATTAAAAGATTTAGTTGGAAAGTTTATTTATAAAATAGTATTGTGAAATCAATTAATATTTGTTGTAAAAAAGATAAATAGCTGTATTTCGACTTACAAGATGATTTTAATGAAAAGTTTATTTATAAAATGACATTGTAAAACTATTTTATGATTATTTGAAGAATAAAAAAATTATGCATAACAATTTATTTATTTTAAAGATTCATTTAAATGAAAGAAAATTTTAATTGGTATTGTGAATCTAGTTTATTTTTATCTCAACATAAAAAAGAAGAAAATCAACATAAAGAAGAAAAAAATTGCTTGCTGTGCATATATTTTTTTAAATGATTCTTATAAATAAAAAAGTTTATTTATAAAATGACATTGCAAAACTATTCCATGCTTATTTGAAGAATAAAATAAGATGTATGACAATTTAATTATTCACGAGATTCATTTAAATGAAAATGATTTATAAATGGTATTGTGAATCTATTTTATGCTTATCTCAGTATAAGGAAGAAAAAAAATTACTCGCTGTGTTTCTATTTCCTAAATGATTCTTATAAATAAAAAAGTTTATTTATAAAATGACATAGTAAAATTATTTCTTGCTTTCATGAAGAATAAAATAAGATGTATAAAAAATTTATTCCAAAGATTCATTTAAATGAAATATTTTTAAATTGTATTGTGAATCTATTTCATGCTTACGTTAATATAAGGAGGAATAAAATTACCTGTTGTGTTTTTATTTTCAAGATGATTCATATAATAATAAGATGATATAAATAAAAAAGTTAATTTATTAAATAAAATTTCAAAACTATTTTTAAAGTTCTTGACTTTCTGAACTTTGTGCGTATTAAGCATTATGTGAAAGTAACTCATAACAAAAAAAATAATATAATTACTTTGTATCCATTTTTCATAATTTTGATCATGAAGATATGCAAGCGTATCTTCAAGAAGGGTTAAAAGATGTATTGATGAATATATCTTCAACAAGGTTCTTGAAAATAAAATGGTTTATTTATAAAACTTCATTAAAAATAAAGTTATATTTTTTCAAAAACTATTTCATTTTCAATTCAGGAATTTAATGTATCCACATGTGATCTGCAAGGCCTTTTAATTAGGCTTATGAACTGTTAAATATTTATTTAAAAATATGAAAGTTTTTGTTTTGTTTTTTTTTATTTTATTTTATAACCATCATTGAACTGTTGACCCAATTTTTTAGGTTTACGACTACCAATGTCCAACTCCGTAGCCTTGTAATTTTGAACCCGATGAACAATTACAGCATATCATAATTTTTTTTTTCATACAATCTCATTCATTTTTTTAAAATTCTTTCCTGAAACCGAAAATCTGATTGTTTTTTTCGGCAAATGATAACTTACTTAGTTATTAAACATTTAAATTGTCCCAAAAGACTTCCGTAAAGGATGCAATGAAAAACGATCCCTGATTGGTTATGATGTCACATGTGCTGAATGGAAGCGTGCCGTCTCCATCCACTAAGGCTATTTCAATGCTCTTTTACTTTTGATATCACGTATATCGTACGTTTTAGTATTTGATATCACTAATGCTATTTCAATGCTTTTTTAGTTTTAATGTCACGTATATCGTATGAACATCCTTTGTAAACAATTTGTAAAAATTTTGTGAATTAAATTTACGGTTTTGAGAATGTGTGCAAAATGGAAGAAAGATATTAAAACTTCAAACGTTGTTATTTGTCACTAAAATATCTGAAGAAATGATTATGCAGCTCTCTAGAGCGAAACAACATTTCTTTTGGTTGAAATCAGTGGTGTTAAAGTTCATAGAAAATAATATTCCACTTACCTTTAAATTAAAATAATGTTCCATTACAGCCGAATTACTTAATTAAAATAAGTCGCAGATTGGATTGAAATAGTATACATTTAGATATAGGATGGATGATTTTACAATTCGTTATTCAAATCAGTATTTTTCAATTCGTAAAACAAATCAGTATTTTTCATGAATCTAGTTCATTGAATTAATATCAGTCCATCATCGTTACAATCTATGCGCTAATGTTCAAGAATTCAAATAATGTAATTTAATATTTGCTTCTTTTATTTATTACTCGAGTTGAAGGATTTTCTTTTTAAGTGCAGTTTATTTCATCATTTTTTTTTACTGTGTATTAAATATTTAAATACATATTAACACTTATATTTATTATTCCTTGCGTAATTTCGTTACAATTAGAAATTATTTTTAATTTTATAAATTTTAATTCCCTTTTCTGCAATATAGTATTAACAAAGTATGGTTATTGTTCATTTCTCTCCTTATTTTTGTAAACTATTTGTCAGTGCTTGCAATGAAGAATTCTAAAATAGTAAATTAATACATTATACATTTTTAATTACAAATTTTTTTTATTGAAATAGTTGAAAAGAATTTCAGGTTAAGCATTCGGTATAATCAAAAACATATCAACACTTTCAAGAATCTAGTCCATTGAAATATATCTGACCATCATCATCACCATAATCTAGTTATACTTAAAATTTCACCTAATTTCTCATTTATTCACATCTAATTAACTCATTTATCCACAAAATTTCAGCGAATATCATTAAGCTAGAAGTTTTTATTTCACTAAAGCTAAAAAATTAGCTTATACAAAATGGAAAGAAATTGTATATATATAATGCACATTCTTTATTATTTATTAAAAAAATAAACAGTGATGTTGATATTTTTTCTCAATATTTTTATTCTTTGAGTAAATAGGAACTTTTCGAAAAATTATTTTTATATGCATTTATAAAATTTAATTCCTGTCTCTGTAATAAAAGAACTAAGTAAATGCATATGCTTGATTTCAAATACTCTCATAACATAGATTCAGGCAATTAAAATAAAGTTAATAAAATCTACTGGATTATATGATTTTTTTTCTTTTAACTTTAAATTTTTTTGTTGAAAGAATGAATTGAAAGTTTTGCTGGGATCACAAGTTTTTTTAAAAGGCTACTGCTATGCTGCAGACAATTGCATGCTTTGAATTTACGCTAGAATAAAAAAATAAAAACTATCAATTACTTAAGCTTTCCTACATTTTAAAATCTAAAACTATTTATTCTGCATAAAAAATTGATCCAACATTTCTTTCACTTAAGATGAAAATAAATCTTCGAAATGAATTTGAAATATACATTAAAATTGAGATTGGTTAAAAAAAAAGAAGAAAAACGAAGTAATTTTGTATTTATAACGCATCATTTAATAAGCAATAGCACACACTCTTTTTATTGAACTAAAAAAAATCTTAAATATTCAGAGCTAGAAAATTTCGTCAACTATTAACAATATTTCAGTGGGTATCATTGAAATTTAACATTATGAAAATACGTTATATTAAACCCACATTTTTATTAAGCGATATTAGGGCTCAATTTTTTGTACAGATAGTTATTGACCATCTAAAATAGTTGGATTTAATTACGAAAATTCAAACGAAAGCAAGAACGTATTGGCTTTCACAGCACAGCGACTGTAAGTGAACGGCAGATGGACATGTGACGTCAGTTCGCGAATAATCACGTGACTTCCCGTTTCAGGTAAAAACGAAAGTACGCGTTTTTTGATTAAAAATAACTAAATAAGTAGCCTTCTTAGGAAAGTAATAATATGTTTTGAGGGATTCTGAAGGTATTAAAATTTTTAAAAAAATTGACTGTAATTGTTTATTCAGAAAAAAGAATAGCAAGACAAGGGTTTTCAGTTTACGTTACGTCGCACAATGGGCTATTGGCGACGGTCTGGGAAGCATCCCTGAGGATGATCCGAAGACATGCTATCACAATTTTGATCCTCTGCAGAGGGGGTGGCACCCCCGTTTCGGTAGCCCAACGACCTGCGCGCGATGTCGTCAGAACACAAGGGAACTCTTGCATCAAGTATTGGAAGAAATTTTGCCTAAGTGGAGGACTTTTTGATGGAACTAACCCGCATTTGCCTTAAATGGAGATAAAGACCACGAGAATCTTCCACGGTTTGCCTGATGACAAAGGGACTCTAACCCATGATCCGTCTGTCTACCACTGAGGATATTTCACATCAGCACTGTGGTCGGAGCAAGTAGGATGCGGATATTTGTATTGACCAGCCATGGCTGCAATTCGAACCCACTCCACCTCATTGGAAGGTTAAAGTTCTATCCCCGGAGACATCGCTGTTCTTTTTTCTTCTATTTATATTTATATTACCGTCGTTGAACAGCTGATGAGGCAAATTTTTTGAGTTAACGATTATTAATGTTCAACTCTGTTGCTTGTAATTTTGAACCCAATCCAGAAGACAAGGGAAATCCTGGATCAAGTATTGGGAGAAATTTGTATTTGTGGAGGACTTTTTGGTGGATATCTAACCGCATTCGCGTTAGATGGAGAGAAAAACCAAGAAAATCTCCCACGGTTAGCTTGACTGCAAGATGATTCTAACTCTGAAGATATTTTACATCAGCATTGTTGTCTGTGCAAGCCGGATGCTGACTTCGTATCAACCAGACATCGCTGGGATTCAAACCCAAATCACCTCATTGGGAGGCAAACGCTCTATCCCCTGAGCCACCGTGGCTCTTTTTCCTTCTATGAAAAATCCTGTTTGTTAACAAGGAAGTTATAACTGATTGGTTTACTTATTGTCTTAATGCTAACTTGTTACTGTAACAGTAAATTCTGATTTAGTTGTTTTTTTTTTTGTGGTTATAATGATTTTTTTTTTTGTAGTGAGACATAATTTTATTCAAATTTGTATATAATACAAAGCTGACAACTCTACAGGATTTTGCCATTTTCTCTTGGTCTACTGGTTTAATAAAAAAAATTTCCTGGTTTTCGTACATTTTAAAATATTCCCTGAAATTGAGTAAGTATCCTTAAAAAAATCCCTATTGAAATTGAGTTTTTGCACAATTTATTTCTTCCTTGAATATTTAAATAAGTATTACTAATTCAAAATAAACCAAGCATCTAATCATTTTTAAGCTTTTTTTTTGTTCTAAAATGTTCAGTTTATTTTTAATTAGAACTCCAATTTTAATTTAATTAAAAAAATTTAAACAATCAATAATAAATTTTCTATTACTATTCAATGTTATGATTTAACATACTTAAACATTTCTAGTTTATTTAATGTTGTTCATAAATGCAAAATATTGCAGACCATTTATAGTTATTAGTGTAAGTTTTGTATTTTGATTACAACAAAATCCTTAATTCCTTAGATGTCAAATACTCTTATATTATATAGCAGTTATCATGAAATTTATATTATTTCGTAAAATCTACTAGCTTTTTTCCTATGTATCAGGGTGAGTAGCGTTTTTAAAAAGTGCTTAAAGGTGCTTATTTTCGTTTTTTAAAAGCCCTTAAGGGAACATCGATCTGTAACAGGAAAGTGTGCAGGTGGATAGGAAGTTTCGAAACGACTGGGGGAGTGTGGGTCATGAAGTGGGGGGTGGTAGACGGCCGTTCTGCTTTCTCTTCGTGTTTCACACTCTTTCAGCCGTTTCGGAACTTCTCGATTCATGTGTGCAAGTTTCTGCTGCGGAACAATGTCCTCATAATGTGCCGAAAGTTTAACGTTAAATATCACTGATTGCAGCATTTTCGATTGCAGAATATAAATTTAAGCTTATAATTAAGCTTTAATTAAATTAAGCTTTAATGCACACTTCTCGGTAATTCAATATAACAAAATTAAAATTACGACAACAAACAATATAAATAAATTTGAATAAAAATATACGTTTCTTTTATTTGTCTATTCTTTTGTAAAAAATTATTTTGTGCTGGATGCAGTGAAAAACTTTTTTTTTAAAAATAAAACCTGGATTTTGCAACTTAGATATACATTTTAAGAACTTTATATTTTCTTTGAATGCTTAATTCAGTACTATTATTCGCATAGTTTAGTTTTCCTTTTAAAGTTGTAATCGTTTATATAATTTTACTCATATTTGCACTAGAACAAAACTGTTAGTATTCCATAATGAATCTGTTAACTGCTATTAAGTTAAAAATACGGATTCAAACAAACCATGACAAAGTTTAATCAAAATCATTTTTAAAAAAAAATAGAATTAATATTGAAGCCGTGGAAAAGCTTCATACCAGTTTTCTTATCGAAAATTGCAGTTGGCAAATTTTGCATCCAGTTCTTTATTGTAAGTTGTATTTTGAAATTACAGTGTTAAGTGTTGTATATTTGGCTTATACCCAAAATTTAATGTATATTTTAAGAATTTAGAATTTAATAAAATTTATTATTAAACTATAATGTTTTTAATGCTTATCACTAAGAAATTTATCTTTCTTTAAATAGTGCTCCGACTTATTGTCTTTTGCGTACATAGTGATTGCTAGATGTTACCGTATTACTTTAATATTTTCAGAGAGCGAGCGTGAAATTTTAGCACTTGAAGTTTAGCACTTGAATAAATTTAAGTACATTTCTCTTAAGCTACATTAATATTTTGACATAACAGGAGAAATAAATGTTTTTTAATTTATAGACCTAGTCTAATGATTAATCAGAGGTAAGTTGTATGATGGGGTTAAGATAGTGACATGACTTCTTCAATCCCCAAAGCATAGCATATAAATGACTTTAGCGAAAATTAATTTTAAAAATCAAAGGTAACTCAATATACAGTTATTCTGATAATCAACTCTAAACATTTTTCATTCAAAATTGAAATACAATGATATTTATATAAATGAGGTAACATTTTTGATAGCAGAAATATTGAAAGAAAATTTATTCATTTGAAAGTAAGTACATTAATTCATAGATAAACACTGTTACATTAATTACTAACTTATGAAACATAAATTTTGATAGATTATAAACTACTAGTGGGCTGCGCCCGCCAACCCCCGAAAATTGCTACGCAATGTTATATGGTTTGCTCCGCAAACCAAGCTCGCTTCGCTCGCTACTAACTTAGGTACATTGCAANAAACACTGTTACATTAATTACTAACTTATGAAACATAAATTTTGATAGATTATAAACTATATTATTGGGACGTTAACATTTTGGAACTTGAAAATTTCAGAAAGTAAAGAAACATCGTAAACCATGGTTAGTTAAAGGCAGCTTTATTTACAGTCCGGTGTCGTGATTGATCTCTTTTAGTTCAGCTTATAAGATTCGTCGGAAAATATACATTTTACCTGTTAAGATAGTTCCTTGAGAGCAATGTAAAGCATAAAGTATGCGTCGGGAGTAGTACTTTAACGCATAAAACGCTCTTTCACTTTTTGAACAATTTGGTCCAATGAAGTGACTCATTTTATCCATCACAAGAAATTGTACAGAAACAATGCGTCAGATTCGTAAATAGTCATAGTACATCCAAGAAAGCCTGTAACCTTACGGCAAACTTTCGTCGGGATTTCATTGTCACGGAAATGTACTAAAAACCTTTTTTTTTCAATAAAACAAAGTTTGCAATTTTAAACCTTTCATCCTAAGAGGATTGAAAATTATTTTTTAAAATGTATTGCTGCTTAGGTCCATATAATGACATTTCAGCTGAGGTCACACAAGCGATAGGATCAAATGGCATTGTCCATTAAAATTTCATGGCAAGGTGGATTTTAGCTGAACATACAAGACTTTGCGAAAAAAAAAACCTTAGAATTACCTAGTTTTAAGATTATTTTCACCTGGAGACTAACTTTATTAAAGGATTTTTTTCACGCTTGAAAATCCTAAGTCTACCTCGATTTAAGGTTTTTATACAGGTTGTTTTCCAAAGTTTTGTATTAGGGTAACGTGCGTAAAATAGAGCACATCCCGTTTTAAAGTTAGAAGGTTAGCACGTAAACCGCATAACAAACCTTTTCGCGTTTACATGAAAAGGTTTTTGCCGAGTTAAAATAAACTTTATTTTGCTATCTTGGACTTAAAACTTCTAATCTATTAGTATGATAGTTTCAATATTGATTTCATTCTTTTCATCGGAAAAAATGCAAAGGAAAATGTCTCTTGCCGGTTATGGGTACAGCACTATCTTCCCCTGACCGAATCTAACCCCATAATTAAGCATTCCCTACACCTGCCTTAGATTAACTCCCCTATTATCAGTCCTAGATAGACTTCAGCAGAAAAATTTTAAGCGTGTGCACCAGAATAGCGAGCCAAATATCGATGGAGTGATATTTCGTGGGAAATGTTTTCTTTAAAGTTAATGACCGCCTTCTTATGAATGACGCGTAAGATAAGTCTTTAATGATTTGTAGTTACAACAAAAAACTTGCGAAGAAGAAAAAAAAATGGCGAAGCTGAATTCACTTTTGCGCACACCTTTTTTCTGAAAATATTAAATCAATTTTCAAAAAACGTTCTATTTGACCTTCATGTTTAGATGCACATTGTTATAAGTTTTTATGTTTAAAATATATTTATCAGCTGTAGTTTTTTTCTCTCTTTATTTTCATGTTTAAGTTTTTAATTGTATTCCTTTAACAAAAAAAAGTTCTCCATTAAAATTTTACGTTATTTTTAAACTTAAAATATGCATTAAGACAATATTTTGAGTAAACCAGTTCAGTATAAACTGAAAAAGGGTGCTCGAAGTCAATTGGTTTAACAAGCTGATAACATATTTTAATAACTTTCATTTAACAAACTTTTATTTTAATTACTTAATATTTTAATAACTTTAAATTTTAACCACTTGAATCAGTCTGCGTAGGAAGAGAGGGTGTGCGGTATGGGTCCTCGTTGAACCGTAAAGTGCTCGACTTCGCGTGCAGGTAGTTGGGCTACCGAAGCGGGAGTGCCTTCCCCTCTGCTGAGGATCAAAATTGTGATGGCATGTCTTCGGATCATCATCAGACCCAGACCGTCGCCAATAGCCCATTGTGAAGCTCTAGTGCGACGTAAATGAACTACAACTACAAAAATTGGCCTGTAATAGTGCAAATGGTTAATTAACAGTTTTTCAAACTTAATTAATTTAATGGTCTTTTATTGAGTGAGAGAAAGGTAACTTTTCAAATTGATTAGAATTAAAATTTCCGTTGTTTGCATGTGGTCTTTCACTTATTACAATCATTTTAAAATATTTGCGTTTAAACCCTCACCGCCCCGCTGTCAGACCGACATGCAAACTCCAATCGTTTTGCTCTAGCCAACAGATTATGTAAACAAAATATTAAAATAAAACTCATGACTTTTTTTGGTCAGGCTGCTTTATAGGCTATTTGTGATTTAACAATAAAATTAGTATTCAATACAATACAATAGTAAAGCATATTGTGCTTTATAAAGTAATCATTCTATCACTTATATATTTATAACCCAATTTCTGTTAATAATTTTCACAAAAATGAAATCAAAGTGCAGCAACATATAACGGTTCAATTACATCGTTAATTAATTATCAATTCAAAACTTTAACTGTTGATTATAATAAGTAAAATAGTGTAAATTAAAATTTTAAACACCAGGTTTTACAAATAAGCGAAGAAGAAGAAAATAATTCTATTTTGTGACACCTAAAACAAGAAAAGTAAAACTCCCTTTCTAAAGACGGAGTAATAATAATAAATGTTGGTAGTAAGAAATCTTTTAAAAATTCGCGGAGAGCTATCATGGGTTTCCCAATATTCTCAGAAATTTTTTTTTTTTTTAAAAAAAAAGAAGAAAAGTGTTGGTTATTAATTCCGATTTTGTACTGAATTTGAGCTTTCATCCATAAAAATTTGTTAAAGTTCGATAATTTGTTTTTACATGAATATTAACTTGAGACCCTACTTGAAAAAAATTTTATCAAAAATTTAAAAAACATATTGGAAGATTTTACAGAACACCCGGAAAGTTTGTGTGAAAAATTACGTTATATTTTGTAGTATTGAAAGGAAGAAGAAAAAATAGCTTGCGGGTCAGGAAATTTTTTTGGAAAAATAAAACACCAGAAATTTAAAAATTATTTTGATTCTGTTCTAAAATAATCGTGATTAGAGTTGAAAACCCTTCAAAGAATAAATTGCAAAATTTTGATTTCCACAAGATCCTATGCAAAAAGCTTTAAATTTGGCGGTGATATAAATTTATTTATTTTTTTTTTTAAATTTACTTTAAATTTGTTTCGGAAAAATATTTTTTATTTGTATTGATATTCTTAATTATATTTAAGAAGCATCGAAATTTTTTAAGTGCTTAGGGCCTCTTAAGTTCTTACTCCGGCCCTGCTGATACATTCTCTGCAAACACTTAATTGCCTGTCATTGTGCAGGTAAATGCGCCTTTATTGCGTTTAAAAAAATGTAGTGCGTTTACCACTACAAAAGTACAATCCTAATTCAGTAGTATATAAGACATGTTAACTCGATTCGATGATGGGGTACCTTTTCATAGACGAAGGTTGACATTGTCGATAACAACTCTACCCAGCATAGGTGACCCTCAAACGTGATTTGAACATGCCTAACTTGACAGAATATTACACTTCCATATGAACACACCTATATCGACTGTAACACCAACTTCGATCTGAACACGCCTACTTCTATGGTTCACTTAGAACTGTTGACTTGCTACTGATGACTGTGTCGTTACCCACCTCCTAGCATACAATGTAATACACTCGACTGCTAAAGGCAACACAAGAGCGACCACGACCGTGAACTTAAAACATCGCTCATGATCAGAGCTCAGAAGTACGGTGATCTTAATACAGCTCTCCCTGCTTTTTACAAAACAGGAATTAATCAACTAGCGTTATCCATCGAATTCTATCACAGCTATAATTCTGCTGGCGGGGTACTGTAGTGTGTCTACCACTACAAAATAACAATGCCAATGCACTAGTATATAGGACTCGATTCTTTGTTGGGGCTCCTTTTTGATAGATGAAGGTTTACATTATCGATAAATATATCCCCACAACTGTTATAAAAAACTCAAAACTACTGAATTACTTGAAAGTGTAACCATTTTTCGATGTCTCTGTGTTGATTCAACCACCTTAAATTTACATTTTGTATATTTTCAGCTCTTCTAATACTGTTGAAAGATCAATCCCCAGATGTGAGAATCAGAGTAGCTGAAGCATTGACCTTATTACACCATTATTGAGTTTAGACGACTTCCTTTGTTTGTTCTGCCTACAAGAACTGAAGAAAAAATGTGCTTGCAACCTTTTTTTAAAAAAACGAAAACACAACAACACATATATATATACATACTTATATACAGTTTTCAATGTGTTGTGAGTAACAATATATAACTAACAATATATTGTTAGAACAGGGAATGCCAATGGATATTGGATTTTCCACGATGATCACATATTCCGATTTTTTTACTCTTGTAAAAATTTTAAATTACAGAATTTTTATTGTGTCATTTTTTAAATTTAATTGCCATTATTAAATGTTAAGTTTATTATTGTTGATTTTATTATTCCGTTGCCTATTCTGTTCGTTGCCTATTCTGTTGGGACAAAATTGAAACCTGATCATTTTGTTCAGTTATCATTGGAACTTCATTTACAATTTTGCTTTTATAATTCCTAATACTGTTGGGATGAAATTGAAATCTGATAATTTTGTTTGGTCACTGTTGAAACTTCATCGACAACCTTTTTTTTAAAAAAAAATTCCTGTTTCATGATTAGTTATTATAAAAACTTTTATTATCTGTTTATTACCCAAAATATATAACAACTATGTGAAAAGTTAATTTTTAATGTCTTACAATTTTGTATTAATTATTTTTATTACATTTTTTGACTGGTATGGTTTAATGTAAAACATATTATGAAGGCGAATGTAACGTATTTGTTACTTTATAATTGCAAACGTAGTTACATAACGTTTTAAATATGTTTATTTTTGAATGTTTTACACATCTAATTTTGCATAATAATCAAAATCTATGTAATAATAGCAGAGAAGAGAAATAAAGTATAATAAATAAATATAGCTTTAAAAGGTTATAGGTTGTAAATACAATTAGATAAAAATACAGAAGAAATATTTTTCAGGTACAAAATGCCTTCAAAGCTTTAATATTTTGCCAAAGGCAACTAAGAAAATCTAAATTATTATTAGGTAAGAATCATGTTACAATCAATAGAACAACGAGCATAAGTTTGATCATCAAGATTCTATAGTATTTCATTCAATTTGGTTGATTAAATGGAACATTGATATTTCAATTATACATAGATATTAGTTTATTAGACAACTGTGTTTCCTTTTCTCTATGAATAATAATTATATATATATTGAAATACTTTTGATTTTTTTTCTTCATAAAACTGGGGTGCTTTATGCTTACCATAGAGTACCTTATACCCAAACTTTCCTGAGATAATGGGGTGCTTACCAAAATACCTAAGGGACCATTGTGGCCCCTCTTGTCATTCTAGGTATAAAGTTCTATATATACATACATTTCTATTAAGCTAACACATGAATGATTAAATGAGCTCTTAAATTGGATCAAATTATGAAAAGTCAGAAGTACTCAACATTTTTAATAAGTTTGTTTTTAAATTTCAGAGCAACAAAATACCAGAGGGGTATTTATTAAACTTGCGAGTGTAAACAATGAAAACTGCAGCTAGGAAATTTTTGAGAAAGCAAGAACTATTAACTTTTTATATTATTGCTTTTTTTTGAGAGGTTGAAATGTCAGAAGCTAAGCAAACCAAAATTGATTTAAAAAAATTATTATTAGTTCTAATGCTCTATAAAATTTCTTTTTTTTTACTACAAATAATAAATACTACATATTTTTGGCATTTTAAGTGCTTGCTACTAAAAATTATTTTAAAGCGTTTTCAGATTATTTTGCTCTAAACAAATATTGGCTTGTCTAATTGGTAGATTTAAAAATATGTGGAATGATGCTAAGTCTCGCGTTTCACGGGTAGTGTTAAAGATTTTTCTGTATAAAGAAATAATTCCTTAGACTCTCTTTTAGATGTAATTCCTTTCCTTTGTCTACTAACTGACCCTCTTGATTTTTTTTTTGGGGGGGGGAGTCATCTTTGTTTCTCGCTATCACAAAACACATTTTCCTCAAAGAAAAAAATCATTCCATTAAATGTTCTTTAAATTTCTGTTGTTATGTTTAAAAAATAGTGCCAATCTGTACTTCAATGCTAATGTTTGCTTTTCTTGTGAATAACCAGTTGTGTTTTATTAGTTTGCTTCTTTTTGTCTAATTTTCTTTTAATATAATTTTTGAAGAATTACAATAAAAACATATTATTTATCTTACAGTATAAAGCATTTATTTTCTTTATGTACAAACATGACGAGATGTTAATCGAATTTTTTTTCCGTAATTTTACGACTAATGTTTTTCTTTATGAATCATCTACTGAAAAAAA